TGCTGCTGCTGCTGCTGCTGCTGCTGGACGAGCTGCTGCTGCTGCTGTTTGGTTGTTTTGTGCTGCGGTGGCTGCAGGAAGACGAGGAGGCGATGTTCAGCGCTGTGAGGTCTGCTGCTACGTTTGCCCGCACACAGCCAGCAGCAGCAGCAGCAGGGAGCTCAACAGCCCCTCAGCTGCAGCAGCAACCGAACAACGCTGCACCAACTCCGCCGCAACAGCAGCAGCAGCAGCAGCCAGCAGCAGAAGCACAGCCTGCTGCGGCTTGGGGGACTCCCGCTGCAGCTGCCAACAGCAAAGGCCAGGGGCTGCCCAAGGACGATGGCAGCAGCAGCAGCAGAGACACGGAAGCCTCGAACAGCAGCCAGCAGCAGCAGCAGCAGCAGCCGCAACAGCAGCAGCCGCAGCTACAACAGAGGCAGCAGCAGCACCAACAGCGCCGTGTCCATATGGGTAAGCGCCAAACAGCAGCAGCAGCAGCAGCAGCAGCAGCAGCTGCAGCCGAAGCAGCCTTTCAGGGAGCGTGTCTTGTTCTTCTGTTTGTTGCGTCCACAGAAGAGCAGCAGCAGCAGCAGCAAAGCCCGATGCGCTCTGCAGCTGCCCCCGGCGGCGCTGCTTCCAGTCGGTGGGACAGCAGCAGCAGCAGCAGCAGCAGCAGCAGCAGCAGCACCAGGAGACACAGGAATGCCGTTTTTTTGCTGTTTTTTCTGGAATTTAAACATTTGTTTGTTTATTTGTTCATTATTTATTTATTTATTTATTTTTTTGCCTTTTTTTGTCCCTTTATTCATTTATTTTTTCATTTGCTTCGCAATCCACTGCTGCTGCTGCTTCCTTGTTTGCAGCTTCGAGCCGCAGACGAGAAACGAAGACAGAGGGCAGCAGGTGAATTCTTTTTTATTTATTTTTTTGAATTCTTTTGGACCTTGCTGCTGCTGCTACTGCTGCTGCTGCTGCTGCTGCTGGTGTCTTTCTTTTCCTTCTTTTGATCATTTTCCTACTTTTAGTCTCCTTTTGTTGCTTTTTACTTTCTTATTTCTTTGTTTCTCTTTTAGTTTCCTTTTTTCCTCGTTTTTTCTTTTTTGAGCAGCTGCTTTAATCTTATATTTCTTTTTATACCTTTTGATTTATTCTTTTAGCTCTTTTAGATTGTATTTTATTCGTTTTATTCATTTATTTATTTGATTTCATTTATTTTAATTAATTAATTCATTTTATTTGCTCACTTTATTTCTCTTTAGGCTAGGGGAAAGAAGAAAGCAGCAGAGGCTGTGTCTTCGGGGAGAGCGGCTGACCGCAAGCAGCACGAAGCAGCAGCAGCAACAGCAGCAGCAGCAGCAGCAGATGCGCGGCTGCAGCAATCTGCAGACAGGTTCGTTCCTGAGCTATCTTTGAATTTAATAACTCCAAATTTTATTTTTTAAATCCCTTTTATCTCCTGCTGCTGATGGCGCTGCTGCGTGTCTGCTGCTGCTGTTTGCTGCAGCAGCAAAACGACGGGGGCCTCCTTTCCATCTGCTGGCGACGGTGCGGCTGCTGCTCTTTCAGCTTCTCTAGCCTTTCTGTCCCCTTCTGCTGCAGCAGTAGGACTTTTGTTGCTGCAGCAGCAAAAGCCCTGTTCCTTTGTGTGTCTGAGGATTCCTGCTGCTGCTGCTGCGCCTGCGTTGATATCTGTTCAGCAGCAGCAACAACTGCAGCGGCGGATTCGGCAGCTACTGGCGCTGCTGACGGCAACCAGCAGCAGCAGCAGCAGCAGCAAGGCCCCGCAGCAGCAGCAGAGGGAGGGTCCCCCACGGCCAGCAGCAGCAGCGGCAAGAAATGCTTCCAGTTTAATCCTTACGCAAATAGCTTTACGCCTGCGACGCCCTCCTCGCATGCAGCAGTAGCAGCAGGGTACAGATTTGCTGCTGCTGCTGCTGCTGCTGCAGCAGCAGCAACCAGCGCTGCTGCGCGGCACGGAGGGGCCCCGCAGCAGCCCCTGCCGGGGGCGGTGTCTCTCCCGGGTACAGCAGCAGGAGAAGTCGGCGACAAGAGCAGCAGCAGCGGGCAGCAGCAGCAGCAGCATCAGCAGTACACAGCAGCAGCAGCAGCAGCAGCAGCGCGCGCGCACCCGCAGTCGCTAGCTGCTGGGGCTGGGGCGGCGCTGCCGATGCCGCCGCCGTTGGGCGTGTACGGCACAGCAGCAGCAGCAGCAGCAGCTGCTGCAGCAGCAGCAGCAGCAGCAGGCCAGGCCTATGGGGGGCCTCACACCTCGGGGCCCCTCTTAACAGACCCTACAGAGGCCCTTGTTGTTGACAGCATTGCCTTGGGGGCCCCCTTTGCTGCTGAGGGGGCCCCCTTTGCTGCTGCTGAGGGTTTGCCGCTGGGGGTGCCCATGAGAGCTGTGGGTTTTCGCCAATTAATCAATTAATTAATTATTTAATTTTATTTATTTAATTCAATTAGTAACTCTTTTGTTTGCTTCTTTGCTGCCAAAGAAGCAGCAAAAGACACGCTTTTGCTGCTGTTGCTGCAGGCCTTCGCGGGGTACCCGCAGCAGCAGCCAGCAGCAGCGCAGCACCCCTGGCGGCCGCTGCTGCAGCAGGGACTGCAGCAGGGGCTGCAGCAGGGGCTGCAGCAAGGGCTG